ACTGTTGGCCTAGTGCATGACCTAATGGATTAAAGCATGATCTCAAGGGCTCAAACACAACATATTGACCTAATTAAATTTATCAAGACATTTCCAAAGATGCAAGTGATTGATAGTTGAAGAATTGAATCCATTGAATGAAAAGTCAACAGTCACACAAAAGTCAAACTTTGATTTTTTGGTCAACATTGGAATTCAGAAATCAAGAATCATCAAAACTATCAAACTTTATCATCAAGAATCAAGAGAATCAAGAAATTCAATAAAAGTCAAAATTGAAGATTTTCAAACACTTACAAAAAATTCAAGTTTTTGTGCTTAGCCTAACTTCACGAGCAAGTTTCCTCAAGATACAAGTTGATTCAAGGAAAACTTTCAACATGAAAGTTGTATGGATTAATGAATTCTACAACTTCGTTAATGTGGGGTGATCCTTAAAAAGTTCTTGGATTAAGAGATATAGGCCCATGAAGTTCTGATATTTTTTATCCAACACTTGGAAAAAATTTCAACAAGTTTTGATCAGTTTTTTTATCTCAACTTCTTGGCCAATTTTCACCAAGTTTCCATTTGATTCATCCAAATTAGTCAATATGAAAGTTTTAGATCTTGGTTCAAGCTTTCCAAAATGTCCAAGAACACAAATTTATCATACTTGAACTAGAAGTTTCGAAGAGATGAAGATGGCATGTCAAACTTGAATTATAGGTCATTTTTTTGATGAACTCATAATCAAATATCATAGCCATGCCTTGTAATCTCCCTTTGCAGACCTATAAAATTGTAAATCTATCTCTAATCAGAAGATTACACAAGATTTTGAGCTATGGTCCATTTGATTCAAGCATTATCCAATCCATTTTTCCATTAAAGGAAGAAAGGTTACACTTCCATTCTAGTAAAGCAAGCCTTTTGCAAAACGTCAATGCATTAAGCTCATAAATTGTTTCCTATGATCACACTCCATTATAAAGTGAAGAAGCAACCTCCTGCACCCAACCAACTTCAGAACATGCTTGTACTTGATCCTTGAAACCACCATTTTCACCATAACTTGATATTTCGCTTCCAACCAAGCCATAACTTGACATCTTCATATTGTAACCAGCACAATCCCTTTAACCTTTGCCTATAAATATAGGGTTCATTTGCAAGCCAATGGACCCCTTTACAAGCCCTCTAAACCTCTCATACACTCTCAAACTCAGAATCACCAAGAAAAACTCCATTAATGCATATCTTGAGCCTTAAGAAGTCAACTCTCAATCCACTCGTGCGTTTTCCCTTTTTATCATTCAAACATCATCTATACATCATATATAAGTGATCTAAACTCCTATTTCATCACTGTAACATCATCTTCATCATCCACCGTTTTCACTTTTCATACTTGCAAGTCCACTTGGTCAGAGGTATCCAGAGGTTCTCAGCACCAAGTGAGTATCCAAACAGCTTCCTAAGAGTCTAAGCAAGCTCACCAAATCATCATTTCACCTCTGGAAGTCGTGTAGAGGGCATTGAAATTTTGTATCAAGAGGTAAGTTTTCCAAACTTTAAAATCTCTGTACAAGCATCATTTGCATTTATTTTCTGAAGATAAAATGTAGATATGATCTCTACAAAGCTAACCATATAATTAGTTTTCATTAATTTTGCATGAGGTGTGAAAATCGAAGCTCTGACCAGTTAGGGTTCATTTTGGTACCAATTGAAATTCTTGATAATCTTTGAGTGTTAGTAAAAATAAGTGGCATGGCTGAATTCGTGTTCAAATTTCAAGCAAGTTTGGTGTTTACACTTTTCAAAAAGATTGAGAAATGAAGCTTTTAAAAATTCAAAAATGTTGTTGTTGTTGTTTGGCGCGAGGAAGAAGAAGAAGTGGGAATTCCAATTTTTTGAAAACAAGTTTATTATATATTTATTGGATGTTGTTTCATAACCAGATGAAACAGTCACCCCGGTGGCAAGCGTATGTGTGAGTTAGGTGTTGGTGTGCTATGGCAGGGGTTCGATCCCTGCCTCTGGCATTTTATTTTTCAATATTTTCTTTGTAGATCAGGTACAAGCAAATCCAGCGCACAATGATGCACCCCCTCATCAACACCATCAAATCATCATACAATCAGATCCCACGCTCCAGATCAGCGCCTTCACCATGAGCCTTCATGAATTTCCCTCACTAGATCCAGCACAATGCCTAGGCTCTCTTGTTATTGAGCCTGGAGTTTTTGCTTTCTAACACCCCCCATTTCACTTATAGTGTAAGCCCATTTTAATTTCTTTTATTTTTTGGTTTTAATTAATATTTTATTTTCTTTAACAAATTTCATTATTTATTTATTTTATTTAATCAACAAAAACCACAAAAATCATTTAAAAAAATTATTAGACTTAGTTTTTTTTTTACTAATTAATTTAATTTTTGATAAAATAAAAATAATTTAACTTAATCACACTTTAGTTTTATTTTTAATAATTAATTTATAAAATAATTAGAATTAGGTTTTGTTATTATTTTACACTATAAAATGTCTTTTCTAAATAAAACACCAAAAATATTTTCTAAATACTTAGAATTCTTTAGATTTTGAATATCTTTCCCTTTTCACCATCTTCGCGCACTTTACTTTCGCATTAATATTTTCCAATATTGTAACTGCTAATAGTCTGTAATAGCTTGAATTAGGGTTTACTGCTTTTCATCCTCATTCATAAATTTGTACTCCCCATCCCCGAAGCGTTGTAATAGCGTAGGACATTTAATTTCCGCAATTTACTGCTTTTCTTATTACTGTTAGTAATTAGGGTTTGTATGGCAAGATTAAAACAGTCATGTCCCTCGAGCGTGGGATGCTTTAGCAAAGACCCTCAGTTAAAATATCGTAGTCCCTCGACGACCCTTCGATGTTGCCTTCGATAAACGATCTTAGTCCCTTACGACAATTGCTAAAGCGTCCTACAAGTTGCCTTCTATGACTGTACGATGACCCACGCTTGTCCCTCACATCCAATGATAAGGCTTCCTACTAACTAATGGTAGAGTAACACTATCTAAAGGAGGAGGAAAAGAGCAAAGACTTCTTTAAGTAGGTAGATCGCTCGTAGTCGCTTACTCACAAACTTTTCAAAACAAAAACATCTTTTCACAAAACAACACTTTTTCAATAAATATTTCCAAAATAAACATTTTGTATACATTCTCAACGATACGAGAATCATTATAAAATTTCCATACTTAGGCGTCTTCAGAATATTTTCAAACATACACAAAACACAAAACATTCCAAAAAGTGAGCTAGCGATTAAAAGCCCGTAGAAAACTACGGATGAAAAGGGTGCTAACACCTTCCCTTTTCATAACCTACCCCCCTTACTCAAAAAATTCTCAAAGGTCTTTCATGTTCTTTTCACCTTTTCCTTTATTGGATAAAAGAAAAGTCGGTGGCGACTTTTGCTATCCTCAATATTTGCGATAAAATGCAAAACCCAAAAGTCAGTACTCCCACTGTATTACAATAGGGCTACCTACCAACTAATGATATGGATAACACTATCTCTAAAGAAGGAAGAAAATAACAAGAATGACCTTGAGTGGATATGATACTTTTAATCGCTTGCTCACAAACTTTCCTAAACAAAGCATTTCTCACATCACACTTTCAAAAATCAAATATTTTCAAATACATTGTACGTGTTCTTGAGGACTGATACAAGAACCGTTACAAAGTTTGCCTTACATTGGAAAATTTCAAAATATTTTCAAAACACACACACACAAAAAAAGCAAATTTTCAAAAGTGAGCTAAGCGATTAAGAGCCCGTACATAACTACAGATGAAAAATATGCTAACACATTCCCTTTTCATAACTTACCCTCCGAACTCAAAATCTATCAAGGTTTTTCATGTTTTTTTCACATTTTCCTTATTGGATAAAAGAAAAGTCGGTGACGACTATTGCTATTTACAATATTTGCGATAAAACACAAAAACTAGTAAGTTCTTCCACCGTATTACAATCTCAAACTTTGTTTTTAGTTCCTCTAAAATCTTCCTTTAAAGAATGATCCTTCTAAAAATTTAAAATTTAACTTTTGGTCTCTTCTACAATTTAGCGACGATTTTTACAATTTAACGATGGTTTTAACGATGATTTTTAGCGACGGTTTTTAATTTAACGACGAAATTAGAGGTCATTTTAACTACGATTTTGTCATAAAGAACCAAAAATTAAATTTAAAATTTTTAAATTTAAAAAAAAAAAAAGACTAAAAACAAAATTTAAAATATTTAAAGAGATAAAAAAATCCATTAACCCAAATATTATTTATATATTACAATTTAATTTTTATGTTTCAAAATAAAACAATCCTAATAAGGAATATTCTTTATAAATTTTTTTTAATAAATTCTATATAAATTAATATTTAAGAAAAAAAATATTTTTTGAGCTTATCATTTGTTGTGCGGCAAATTGAAGATGGCAATAACCATTTGATTTAACGCAAGGCGCATTGCAACCACGAGCCCCGCATACCACTAGGCAACTTCACCAATTAAATAAATACTACTCTCCAATCTTATTTTTAAATAAAGATTTATTTTTTTAAAATTCAATAAATAATAAATATATCTGATCTAAAAAATCATATACGTTTATTATTCAATTAATTTAAAAATATATTTATTTATAATAATAATCAGAGGGAGTGCAGCTTAAAACTCACCACGTCACTTCATCTCCCAACGCTCCCCAATCTGCCGCATCATCACAACAAACTCCGACACGAAAACGAAAAATAAGCCACGAAAACAAACTCCCCAATTCCCAAATTACCCTCACAACTTCTCCAAATTCACACCAAAACCACCCTTTTATTAACCATTTTCGTGTTCCTCCCACACATCGCACTCACTAAAACCATCTCAATTCTCAACCCATTTCCACCAACGCCACGTCATCATCATCATCATCTCTCTCTCTCTCTCTCTCTCTCAAAAATGGCTTCAACGATGCTCAAGCGAGCCATCAATAAGCTCTCATCATCCTCCCCAGCTTCTCGGCTAACTCTACTCCGAGCCCACGCCTCCGAAGCCGAAGCCCAGCAGGTCCAGCCCAAAGCCCGCGACACCACCGCTCTAAAGAAGTTCCAAATCTACCGCTGGAACCCTGACTCTCCGTCAAAGCCCGAACTCAAGGAATACGAAATCAACCTCAAGGAGTGCGGGCCTATGGTTCTCGACGCTCTTATCAAAATCAAGAACGAAATCGATCCGAGCCTCACTTTCCGTCGATCCTGCCGCGAAGGGATCTGTGGCTCCTGCGCGATGAATATTGACGGTTGTAATGGACTTGCGTGTTTGACGAAGATTCCCTCGGAGGGTGCGGATACGACGATAACGCCGTTGCCGCATATGTTTGTGGTGAAGGATCTTGTGGTTGATATGACGAATTTTTATAATCAGTATAAGAGTATTGAACCCTGGTTGAAGAGGAAGAATCCACCGTCGGAGCCTGGGAAGGAAATTCTTCAGAGTAAGGCGGATCGGGCTAAGCTTGATGGAATGTATGAGTGTATTTTGTGTGCATGCTGTAGCACTTCTTGCCCTAGTTATTGGTGGAACCCTGAGTCTTATCTTGGACCCGCTGCTTTGCTTCACGCTAATAGGTAACGCTTTCATTTTTAGCTTTTATGATTTGTGTGCGTAGAAGTTGATGATTTGTGGTAAACTATGGAACACTGGACACATGATAATGTTGGCACTATAACACTGATAGTAATTTAAAATTATATAAGTGATTGAATGTAATTCGTTAATAATAAGAAAGATCTCGAGATTAACAATTGGGATAGAAGCATTCTGGATAGAATATTATGGCAGTGGGATTAGGCTTTGTTGTTGTTGTTGATTGAATGTAACTAGTGTTAGTGTCTTGAGGTTGGAAGGTAACTCAAACATTTGTAAGCGATGAAGCACCGCCGCAAACACAGATAATTAACCTAATGCCAATCGAACAATTTAAGAAAATAGGAGTGGTAATCTGAATCTGAACTGCTAAACTTACATAGTGCTTCAATTTGAAAAGTTGGTGCTGCATATGAGGTAACTAATTTGTCTTATGCTGGATTTTCCGTTTGTTTGTTTGTTTTGTTGCTGTGGTTTGTCTGTTATCTATGTTGAATTGGATTGGAATTTGGAAGTTCATTTTGCTGGTATTGTGGTTTTGGCATGGTCTGATTCTGCATGATAGAATGACAGAGAAAGTGAACTATTGTGACAGAGATGGAATGCTAGCTCATTGTGACACTGGACACATGGTCTGATTTGCTGGTATTCGTTTTCTAAAATATGTGTTCGTTTTAACTTGCTATTAAGAAGACCTAAAACTCTTAAAAGTGAACTACTGTGACAGAGATGGAATGCTAGCTCATTTATGGAAATAATGAAAACAAAATTTTCACATTTTCATTGTTTCGAAAATATGCACACAAGTGTTCACTTCAAGGGTCTATTATTACTGTTAGCAAGTAAAATTAACCCAATTTTAGAAAATGTTTTCGCAAAGTAAACGAATAAAAGGGCTCACTAACTTATCCTCCTGGATTAGCCCAATGTTGAATTGAATGTCTTCTCCTTTTCTAAAATAGGGAGCAGATTGCTTCTCCTCTTGTTCCCTGGCCTCATTATTAGATAAAGTAAACAACTATTTGATTTATCTTTTTTCCCCAACTACTTTCATACTTCAATAGTTATATTATTTGTTCCAACCATTTTTTGTGGTTAATTCTCTCTAATGTATATTATATCACAAGCTCTGTAGTTCTATGATAGGTGTAATTTGGTCCTCTTTCAAGTGATTAAGATATTTGACTCCATTGGAGTTTGCATGTTCTTCACAAAATAACTTGTGAAAATAACTTTGCATTGTTCTATGATATAAATGCTTTGTCTACTCAAGAGTGTTCATATCTTACATTGATCGATAAGCATCATTATGTATACTCCTTGTCCTTCTAACTTTTCACAAAAATATAGAACGTGGTAATGGTGCCTATTCTGTACCCGAACCTGTAACACCATGGCATCTTAATGTTGAGTGTTCTCATAATTTCCATGCGTGTAACCAAAATATTCCTTGGGAAGACTTGTATAACATTGGGATCCTTCTGTTAACCTGGGGCTGTGCTAGGTCCGCAGTCATTCCGCTCCGTTCTATAATTCTAGTATGATCTCTGAGCCTATAATGTTTGTCATGTAAGGCCGGCATTCCAAAACTTCTAATCTATGCAGGAAGGGTTGGGTTTGTGTTGAAGTCCTGCCTAAAAGTATTCCTTGCAAAAAAACTTTGTTAATTCTCCTCCCTTACGCAAGCTTTTAGGATTTTGACCTAGTTCATTCTCAATTCTAATACTTAGCAAGTGGCAAGTTCTAATGTACACAAGTCACTCAAGTGGTGCTTGATGCAAGATTAATTTTTACCTTTTAAATCATAAAGTACAACTCAATGTGTCACTCTACTAACTAAATCAAATTCCTCTTCCCCTCCCCACAATCTCTATCGAAGAACCACAACACAACAAAACTTAACCTTCATTACTCTCTTCCCCCTTCAAGAATGTTTTACAGCCTCTTCACATTCTCCATAATCAATTAACTTTTGTTCCCTTCAAATTCAATCATATTAATATACTTACTTTTACAGTCTCCAATTGACATAACTTGGGTTTCAAAACTTTTACCTTAAATCCCAAACTTTTCTCTGTTGAAATTAAAAATTTCTACAAAGTTCATCTGTATTCCTGGAATCTTGTATTGGCCATCTCCCTCAACATGGACCAGCATTCCAAAAACATCAATTCCAAATCCTTTCCCAAATCAACGAACCTCTGGTTCCCTGCATCAACAACTTGGTTAATTTCGCACAGTACAACAATTGACGTTGCTAGGTAATTTCCGTCACTGGTTGTTGTAAGACTGAAACGACAACTCCTCAGGGAGCATGTGGAAAGCTCTTGGGTATACGGCAAAGAGAGAGGGATGACTAAAACTGGTTACTCGATATAATGGAGATCTCTTGTCGGTGAATTGAGGGGCTTATTGTGCTGTTGTTCTTTGGACAAAGAGGGCAATGAGAGCATGAGGGAAGGAAATGAGAGGAATTTAATATAGAGGGTATACCATACGTTTGGTGGAACTTTATAATTTAATGGTAAAAATTAGTCTTGCACCAGCACCACTTGAGTGACTTGCGCACATTAAAAGCTTCCCTTAGCAAATTAGCATAGATCTTAAATCAACCTAGCACATTTATGTAACATATAATTGTTTCTTCAGATCTCTTCATATTTACGTTTACTTGTTTTTTCTGCACAATTCTCTGCATCCTTCCAGTATTATTAATTAGTATTCCAAAATTTTCCATGTAATATTTGTTTGAAACATTTAGGGAGTTAAGATATACTAAATTATTCACCCTAGTTGACCAAATGTTTTTATCCAATAGTAACTGTTTTAGATGTGAGAAGTATTGGCAGTTTTTTTTTTGTGTGTTCTGTCTACAGCTGATATATTGTCTTTGATGGAATTTGCAGGTGGATAAGTGACACCCGTGACGAGTTCACCACAGAAAGATTGGAATCCATTAATGATGAATTCAAGCTCTATCGCTGCCACACAATATTGAACTGTGCTCGTTCCTGTCCAAAGGGTTTGAACCCTGGAAAGCAAATTGCACATATCAAGTCGCTTCAACCAAAAGCATGAGAGCCAATTATTAGAAGTGTGATTGTGTTTGCATTGACAATTTACCAACAAATTTTATTTATTCAGATGGGGGGATTATCTTAGTTATATTTCTTAATAATAAAACCCGAGCCCCCCTGTTGTAAACTCTGCTTTTAAGTTTATATTGCCTTTTTGTTTTTGAAATGAATGTTAAATAGCCAATAGAGACCCATCTCCTAAATTGGTTGAAAGCCATTTTGCACAAACAAGCTCTCTCTGAGAAGGACAGTCTAAAAGATTGAAATTTGCAATCAGAATATTAGAGCTTAAATTTTCTCGTCATTTGCTATCTTCTGGGATATGTTTGTTTAAGATATGTGCTTTATGATCCCAAATCAGATCAGGCTATTTGTCTTCTACATTAATCTTATCCGTGTTAGGAGTATGGTAGTTGAGTGTATTTGTTTTACCATTGATGCCCTATTGTTACAAATAAAGTCTTGATCAGAATAATATTGAATATGAAGCGTTTGCTCATAGAGTTGATATGAGTGACCTTAAATTACAAAATAAAATAACCAATAAGATGTTTATTTCCTAGTAACACAACTTCAGAATGACCATCATACCTAATCATAGCATACATAAAATTGTGTGGACACGTGAAAGGAGTTTAATGATTGATTAACATGGCAAAAATCCAACTGTCATAAGCGTATGACTTGTGATCTTTATATATTACACGAGTAAACTTCACATACCATAGATATCACCATCACAGGTCATGAAGTTGTTAGCAGTAGCTTGGCTTATAATTCTCACCATTTCTTTTGAATATGGGATTAATGTTCATGGCAGCACCCGTCTTTCAATGTTTAGGATTTCTCGCAGCATCCAATCATCTCAATATGTTACTATAACAGGTAAAATCCAATCATCTCAATATGTTACTATAACAGGTAAAGTGTTTTATATAGGTGACGATGGATCAACACAACAATGACAAATTCGATTATATGGATCAAATAACGCATAATGTTCTATCATATATCATATGAAAGAGCATTATGGTAATGGATGATAAGTACTTAAACATAATAGATAGTAAATAAACATGAGACCCTTTACATGAGACCCTTCTCCGAACTCTAGTATTTGTTTCTCATCCATATTCTTTTTAATATTAGACTGACAGTGTTGACATGTACGGACAAAATCATATTTCTAAGTACTAACAAGATAGAATAATGATGTTTCTACAGGATGCAACAATGATTGTGACACTGCATGCTGCAACTGTGATATCAAAAAACATCCACCACTCTGTGTTCTATGTTGTCAAGAAGATCCTTGAGAAGCACATAAATAACCACAATGTTGTACACTGTATTTCTCTTTTCGTTTCAACTTTATCAACAAATGCAAATTCCATTCATTTATACTTGTATATTGAAGTAATCAAAAGAAAATGCTTCCCTAATGTTATGAATTTGATGTATTTTTCTTTTGCCATAATCCTCTCCAGACATTATTTATTTTAGAAAGGTCATATGCTAATCGGCGTCGTGAGGACACTCTTTAAAAATACCAAATATGAAAAATATTCTTAACAAAAGTTAATAATTTTAAATTCCAATATATACACGCATTTCTAAAAAATTTACCACTTTAAATACTTTAAAGAGTACTCTGCCCCACCCCAAGAACATTGGATAGCATTTCCCATTTCAGAAAGATAAATAAACACTGGACACAATATTTAAATTTTTAACCAACCACTTGTTCAAAAAATTAATTTGCTAGGTTCCTTCTAGAGTCTTGTTACCAAAAAAACTATGCTGTGTCCACTTCCTAACTTGGCAAAATTGTAGTTGCAATAATAATAAGGTAGGTTTTTAATCCTTCCTCTTATTTATTTAAATGTCAAAAGACACTTAAATATGTCAAAAGACTGCATCATCATCATCATCATCATAATAATAATAATAATAATAATAAAAAAGATTATATTGAGATAAAAATCATGAGTGATTATAATAAAAGTAGATGAATAATCTGTATACATGTATGTCTCTTTGGTTGAATGAAAACTTTTTAAGCTAAACTAATTTAAAAATAGAAAGTAGAGTACAACATACAATTAGCATTATTCACAGTCCAACACAAATTCGTGTTAAACACACCTAAGATACAAAATAACTAGTCTATACTTTCTCGAATCGGGCTTCCAAAAAGCCTTGTTTATATATTATTATTATTATTATTAGAACTCGTCGGCAAAACAGTAACATGAACATAAAAAGTTATGGATATGATATATCATGGACCATCGCTGCTGCTAAAAATTACTCGGGATGATTAACAACAAAATAAAATGTTAACTATAAATTTCTTGACAAACCAAGAAATACAACTGGCGATGAAATCTGTACCCTAAGATCAGCTACGTCGATATCATGACCACCTTCAACCAGGCCCCACTTGTCCACCTGAAAAAGAGAATGAAGACATTTTCATCTCAGATCATGTTTACTGATAAACCAAATTAATAGACAATTCTTTTGAGATAACTCTCTCAGCCCAACCCAAGAGGTTTCTAACAAAAAAGATGCTGAATACACTCCATACTTTAACAACCTGTTCCGTTGTCACATCATACAATTCTTCTCTAACTTCCCTATTAAGCTTACTTGTTGGGTTAGGCCCAAACATAGAGTCCTATAATTTACATTCATGTCCTGTGCTTCAATATTCAAGCACAAGTATACAAAGACAAAATGAAAAGACAAAATGCATATGTATCAGGTTATGGGTTTTAGAACATAGCCATGCAAGTACCTGTAAATCTTCTTCAAGTCTAATAAGTTCAATTGCTTCCTCAATTTGCAATTTCCCTTGAACCACTGCAATGGCAATAGTTAATGAGTGTGCTGATGCTGCAATAGCATCAATTGCAGCCAATTCACAATCATCTGTTTTCTTTAGAAGGTTCTCTACAGCAATCGCAAGACCATCATCCTGTTTTCCACCATAAAAGCTGGAGTATACAACAGGCTTAACGCCAAATTCTGACTCCAACCAGCCTAGTAGAGGATCTATTTTCTCAACTTGGCGATCTGCAAGAACATAACTTCATATTAAATTATTTCCACACATCTTTTTCAATATCATTAAAATGTCTCTAATCCTAAAAAGTTTTCGTCAACAACATCATTGTAGTAAAAGCAATTTTATCACTCCAAGTCCAGGAAGGTAAAGCGAAAATATTCTCTAATTACATCTTCCATAGATGAGGCAAACATGAAGACAGCTTGCAAAAAATATAATCACAACATCACTTATCCAACCAAAAAATAATAATTAATCTTCATGGTAAACTCAATACCTGCAATATATCACATAATTCACATGATTTAAAAGTTCATGACACTATTAGTAAAAGAGAGGTGATTGTTATTTATCTTTCCTGTATAACAACAATTGCACCATGGCTAGAGCTATAGAACTTAAATAACTTCCATTGGCACAGTCAAGTTTATGATTCCAAAACCATCAATATCACTTTTCAATGCATTCATCGAAAATGTCAAATCAGTTAGCCATCCTAAAATTGATCTGTTAAATAATAAAAAGAGCACCAAAATTATGCTTTTTATAATAAATTTTTAAGTATGACTCCAACATTCCAAGTTCAATATACTCAGCATGTAATGTATTACTATTTTACGTCAGGAAATCACATTATTAACCGAAATCAAACAACTATAAGGAAATATCACGGCAACTAACACCATACCATGGACTCCGCTTGTGAGATCATTGTCATCAGGGGCACGGCAAAACACTAAATCTTGATTAAATTTCTTCATCAAGTGCTCAATAATTTTGGGCCTTGTCACAGGAACTCTTTCCAAGGCAGTGCAAGCAAGTCTCATAAGAGGCATTGTGAAAGGTCTTATCCCATCTATTTGCTACAATAATAAACCAAATTCATCACACATTTAACTCTAAATGATCCTCCTAAGCATCAATAACCATACTATACACCATTCAAAATATCTAAACTTCATAAACACTCAACCCAAATCAAAATCTGTTTTACAAAATCAACATGAAAAGAGATGTCTATATATCCGACACTTACACCGACACTTGTGATAAAGTTTAATTAATTTGTTTTGTATCAACGTGTCACTGTCGTGTTTCTGGTGTCAACAAAAAGCAGAAAGAAAACCAAAATCATACTTGATACTCCCATTCAGCAGCAATGGCCTTAGCAAGAGCAAGAGTGGGAAGCTTAAGCGGTCTCTTAGCAGGTGTCTTGAGTGTTCTATAATCAAGCATCACCGTCCAACCATTACCATCATCCGCTTCTCTCGTTTTCACTTCTTTGTAGAACCGTTTCCCGACTATAGATCCCGTCATGAACGACATCGGCATCGTTACCGACGAAGATTGTTTCCTCCTCGCCGCCGGTGCTCTCAAATGAACGCTGTCTGCGTCCGATGAAAACGTGAAGGAAGACGATTGCTCCTCGTCGGCGGCGGCCACGGAGCCGAAACGACGCAGGATCCGGGGAGCTGATAGCGTCGTTAGTAGTTTAGGGTTTATGGATTTAATGGAATTTCTTATTAATGACTGAGCCATTTTTTTCTTGTTTTAGAGGGAAAAAAACACAGTGCTAGTTCTTCAGAAGGGTTTTTGTTTACGAGAATCAGAAGAAAGAAATGGAGATGATGATAATTGAAAAAGAAAAATAAGAAGGAAAGAAGAAGTAGATAGTTGGGCCTTATGAATTTCCCATTGAATTAGCAATATTTCATTTTGCTATTGTTATACTCTTTTTCTAATGATACACCTCCTTTAGAATTTTATAATTATTTTTCCATAATATCACTTCCATAAAATTAATTAGAAAGATGATTATATATTTTCCAAATAATATGAATTTCAATTTCATTCAACTTTGAAAAATGATGGTATATGCTCTGCTGATAACGACTAGTTTTCTATTAAAAGTCTCTTTTCACGGTTGCTTTTTCTTGCTCCTCCTTTCTTTTCTCTTCTTATAATATGTTGTAATCCTATCCATAATACAAATGTGAAGAAAATAAATCAACAAACTAAAAATATTCATGTTAGTTTGTGAGGTCAGTTAGTAATCTAGAAAATAGTCTGAGGCGTTACACCGAGACTCTTTCTTTCACTATATAATTAGAGTGCTTCTATCAGTAAGATCTCATTCATCTCTTTTCCATTTCGTTCTTCAAAGACAGATAGAATGGACATGTCATCTAAAATTTCTAAGAGTGTCACTTCCAAGCGAGTTAGCAAGTCCAATGGAGTTGCTTCCCAAAGAAATTACTTCTCCAAGAAGGATGATAAGATCACGTCTTCAGATAGTGAAAGCTCTTATGTTGGATCAACATTAACAAAAAGAACCTCAGAGTCCAAGATGAAGATGCTCAGGAAGAAGGAGAAGAAGGGGAATTCAACTAAAGATATTGAATTTGGTTAGGATGTTGATGAGGACTGGGTGTTCTTCCTTAGATCAGGTGGTTGGGATGATAATGAATATTAAATGCTATTATCCTTGTTTGTTCTTTAGTTTGCTTTAGTTTATCATGCATCTGTAACACCTTTTGAGAAATAATAACTGATCTTTTTTCTCATTGCTTTTATTTTATGATTCTTTCACAACTTTGAATCTTCTGAGTGAATCAGAGATGTTAATAGAGAGGTTTCCAAACAAATCATTTGTGTGTGCTAAAAGAGTGTTATAGTGAATTTTTAAGACATACCAACAATTTTAAATAAAGATAACTTATAGAGGGGTAGCAAGATATGATTTTATTTTACCCAAAAAGAATAAACCCTAAAAGTCATACAACAATTTTGATAGATGTTTGAATTAGTGTCATAATTCTTTTGCTTTAACAATAGTGCTTGAATCTGACCATTAATATAACTTCAAAGTCCGGAGGACAGAAAACCCCATAGGGATTCTAACTTAGGATAATCTGACCCCAAAAGACTTTTGACTTTAGAGGGTGAAATAGATTCAGAAGCAAATAATTTAGAATCATATTTTATAATTATGATGCTACTCGTTATGAGATTTCATCATTCATTCAAGACAAACTTCCATTTTTATATTTTTAGAATGAAGAAAAATCTATCTCCGGCAAGAGGTTTTGTAAAGATAGCATCCCATTGATGGTTTGTATCAATAAGTTTTAAGTTTAAAATTCTCTTCTGAGCGTAATCTCTGATGAAATGATGTTTTATCTCAATATATTTAGCTTTAGAATGCAAAATAGGATTTCTAAATAAACAAAGAGCAAAAGTATTATC